AATTGCATCAGAGATGAGTTTTCCTGATATTTATGGGAGCTTTTTATAGAATTCGTTCCATTATTTATGGGTTTTTTTTAGCAGTTATACATATGTAAAAGGCTTCTTTTTTGAGAAATAAAGTATTTTCCTTTCCCTTTTGCATGGCCACTGTTAGCTCTTTGCTTGTCTTAACTGCATACTTTTCTAATGCAGGATGAGGCTGTTAAGCAGAGAGTAAAGCCTAGTTCACATTACACAGATCTGCCTCCAGGGCCTTAGTCCAAACACAACGCGTCCCCGTGATCCTGTGGACGCCGCCATTGTTGTTGTTGCTTGCCAGCTTGTCAGTGTTGCCAGATCTTGGGAGAGAAACAAGCAACCAGGGCTATGGAAACAAGCCCAAAAGAAGCAACTATCATGCGTTCTCATGATGCCCAAAGTCGCGGCTAATAAGCGGACCTGGCAACCCTGCGGCTTGTCCTCCTCACATTTCTTCCGTCCTCCTGCGTGCTGACGTGGGATGTATCCCACCTCTCATTGGCTGATGCTCTTTGTCAGTCGTGTCAGACTTCTCCAGTTTTCTAGCATGCCAGATATCCAGTCCCAGTCACAGACAAGGGGGCGACTTGCTCGTAGGCTTGTTCACACATGAGGACTTGTCGTGGCAGACTATCTGCCGACTCACCTCCGACCCAAGGTGGCTCTCAAGATCCTCTGCGACGTCAAAATCTGGGTGAAAATTGTGTAATGTGAACTAGGCTTAAAGGCTCTGTGAATATACTTTGTGTTCAGATCTTCACTGTGCCGAAATCTTTGTAAATGTAGGTATGTATTGAATAAAAATCTAAACTTTAAGATTAACAATTTAATTTAGTCTTCTCAATAGGAATGAATAAAAGGCTGAAATATAGGCCTACTTTATATTATTTCACAATGTTTTCTTACACCCCTTAGAGTCAAGAGGGCTCCGCAACCCACCCCTCCAGAGGCTTTGGTGACCCTGAGTGGGGGTTGCGACCCCCAGTTTGGGAACCAGTGCTTTAAACTGCCTTATACAAACCATACAGCATGAAGCTGCACATTGTAAATGGTAAAAAAATGTCATCCATATCGAATGCAGGTCTGCATGTGCACAATTTTCGCTCCACTTGTGTGATATTCATATTTCCCTCACAAGGTTCAGGTGCAAATTTAAGTGTGTGTCGGCAGGTTAATGCACACTCCAGTTTCATTTTCTGAGCATTATGATCAGGAGCATTTGACCAGAGAAAAATGTTGCTGTTTACATTCCTGTCTAAACCCAACCCTCATGTCTCATAATCTAGAGTATAGCTCATTTTGTTTCCTCTTTTTTAAATTATTTTTATTTTACTATGTACCCCCTCCCCCACCTCAGACAGGGCCTATCCTCTGGCACACCCCACAGCCACATGCTCACACACAAAACTGTGGCCTGCTTCCTGTCAGCGGGGAGAGGTTGTTTTTACTGCGACTCCATTTTGGCGGAGAGGGCTAATTCCTCTGCTGTCTGGCTTTGTGTGTGTGTGTGTGTGTGTGTGTGTGTGTGTGTCTGCCTGCACTCACATGTGCTTTTAAACATGTTTGTGTCTCTGCTTTCTCAGCTTCTTTGGTGGGAGTTCATGTGTGTATGTGTGTGCACATACGGTTTTTGATGTGCATTGTCCCCACAGGGTATTTTGGCTAAGTTTGATGTGTACAGTGTACACAGTAGTCTTTACTCTACATCCATGTGAAGCTGTAAAACAGCCTTTAAAGTGGTGCTGGAAACATTTTGTAGATATCAAACTCCTGTCTTGTGTTATTATTTGTAGCGGTATGAACGTTAAACTAAACAGAACGATGCTGAAAAAGCATTTTCCTGGACAAACAAACCTAATGGGTTTCTGGATGTATTTAGTATTTGTAATGGATTTTCCTTTCAAGACAATTCCTTTAAGTGTATGTTAACATAAACAGGAAAGCAACACACAAACAAACAAAAATACTGGATATCCTTACGGAAAGGGTGCACACATAAAATCAAGGCCTCAGTAGAAGATCATATCTTAAGCGGAGGCTCACGAACACACACACACACACACACACCTGTTATGACTGTCAACAGTGTTGTCTGAAGCCATACACTTCTGGGCATTTGGTTTGTGTTGTAATGCTACAGATACCAAGGTCATGCTGCAAAAAGAACTCTCACTCTCACTCTTGGCCGTGTTGAGTAAAGCCACGCCGCAGCGTTTTGTGTTTCCATTGTCAGTTTAGACGCGCTGTGCCATGTCAAAGCGCGCCAGGGATGGACCTTCTCAGGAGTAGGTCCAAAAGTAGGGCTGCACGCCCTCAAGCGGGTAGCGGTGACGTCTTGCCGACTGCAGCCAACCCTAGACGACCCTGCTTCTCCTCCTCAAACAAACAAGTGTGTTGCGAGACTGTACTCACCTCTGTCTGCAGGAGACCAAACAAAAGGACGTTTTTAAAGGTCTCTTTTGTACTTTTGTAGCTTCTGACTGTGGTTTGGAGTTTAGTTTCTCTCCTGCGTCCTGGTTGTACTTTAGATATCTGCTTTATTTTACTGTTTCCTGTTCGCTATCAGCAGTATTAGAAGTTGTGTGAGGTTGCTGCTCAAAAACTCAACGTTTCCTTATTGTGCTGCTTCACAATAAAAGTTTATACATAACAAAATAATGAGGGACTTTTATTGTGAAGAATCTATAGGAAACGAAATGTGTTATTACTGCATTAGCAGGACTTTGTTAGCAACTTCTCTTCAATAAAGGCAGGTCTAATAATATGGCAGGGAGGAAAGTGAAAGCAGAAACAGCCACAGTGAGATGATGATGAAGAGCTGCAGACAACAGGCTCTTACTGCACCTCTGCAAACAGCTCACCTCCAACAGGTAAACTTCTTTTACCTGCCCTGCTGTGGAAGAACTCAGCAAAAATTACAGGGGACTTTAGCCGTGGATCGGCCTGCTGCTTTTAAACATCATCACTCAAGACCAGCCATCATCAGTTTAAAGCCTAGTTCACATTACGCGATGTGTGTTTCTGTCAGTGGGAGTCTCGCCAACTACATTACCACCTGTGTGTGCACATCACAAGATTTCTCCACCGAGCCCTCGCTGACAGAGCCCCAGATAACGCGGTGACGTCACCAAACTTGGAGATGACACATCGTAAAGGCATGGATATTCTTCCCAGTGTTAAATCAGATCTGCCTCCAGGGCCTGGGTCCAAACACAACGTGCTCCCTGTGATCCTGTGGACGCCGCCATTGTTGTTGTTGTTGCTTGCCGGCTTGTCAGTGTTGCCAGATCTTGGGAGAGAAACAAGCAACCAGGGCTATGGAAACAAGCCCAAAAGAAGACTAGACCTGGCAACCCTGAGGCTTGTCCTCCTCACATTTCTTCCGTCCTCCTGCGTGCTGACGTGGGAAATGTCCCGCCTCTCATTGGCTGATGCTCTTTGTCAGTCGTGTCAGACTTCTCCAGTTTTCTGGCATGCCAGATATCCAGTCCCAGTCGCAGACGAGGGAGCAACTTGCTCGTAGGCTTGTTCACACATGAGGACTTGTCGTGGCAGACTATCTGCCGACTCACCTCCGACCCAAGGGGGCTCTCAAGATCCTCTGCGCCATCAAAATCACAGTGAAAATCATGCAATGTGAACTAGGCTTAAGTAACACCTTCAAGAAGGTAGTCCTGTTGTAATGAAAATCCAAATCCCTGCTGTGCTGGGCTGACGGCCCATACCAAGCCAAGCCAGCCTATGACTGTCAAAAAGGGGTACTGACCCTTAGTGTTTTTGGTTAATTTACAGTGACCCTTAAACTCTTATGCGTCATTTCTGACATCTCAATATACTAGCAGAAACAGAAATTGTCTGCTAATGCCGTTATGCTAACATAGCATGATGTAGTTTGGTCTGCTCTGACTGAACAGCACAGACTGACCATTTCAAGATGTAAACAGTCAACTCCTCGCTTCCATCAGCAAGTCATAGTCAGGATTAAGGCCTTCAGTCACTGCAGAGTAAACACCCCACTCCCACAAACTGTCCTCTTGCACACACTTCCATACACACTGTCAAACACACACATACATATAGACACAACATACAAGCTTCGTCTCACGTCTAAGTAGCATTTTCTGTAATTTGAGGGAAGACCTTGAGACTACAAATATTTCTCTGGCTGTTTCATTAACCCTGCATCCTTCACAGTTGTTTAGAAAGGTTGCATTTTGGTAATTGGTTGCAGATGTAATAGTTGCTGTTGGTGCATATCAGCTCTACTTGGATTGCCTGTACACTGTTTCCATCTCTCTGTTAAAGCTGATACAGTTCAGTAATGATGCATGCTTACAGTGGATCAGGGATATTCAGGTTGCTTTGTCTGGGGGCCACTTATGCAAAATGACAGGTGGCCAGGGGCCAGTCGCTGAAGTCCTGCACAGGTTTATGCAGGGGCGTTTTTACAATTTAAGGACACTTGGGGCACAGCCTGGACCTCGGTTGGGGATCTGTGGGTTCTTGCCTGGCACATTTTTCATAAAAAGCTCCATTTTCATGCTTTTTATGCACCTTATTTGTATTAAAAGTTCAAAATAATCCCATCGTAAATCAATTTATTTTAGTTGTGAATTAGAAAATGGAGGGCCACATGACCCACTGTCACAGGCCAGATTTGGCCCACAGGCCACTAGTTGAATATTATACTGCTGTTGTTATTTTAGCAGTCTTTTTCAAACCATTTAGTGCTGTGGTGTTCCAAATTAATCCAGGAAAGTCAAATTGGTACATAAGAATATGCTTCTTGCAGTTCTTTATGAGCTGTGGGTATATGTGCACATTTATATAGAACATTTGACGCTGCCAAGCACCGGAAAATAGGTCCTTTGTGATAGCTTTATCTGTGTGTTTGATGTATGCTGATGACACACAAGGGATTAACCTCTCCTGTATTTGTGTGTGTTATTAAAGTATTACATATATGTTGTTCCCAACAGACTCCTTTCATGTGAAGGACCTTGATCCACACCTGCGAACCAGCCTTTGTGACAGCCAGCATAGACACACACAAGCAAACATCCAGCAGCACCGTCATCCACCAAAAGCTGAAGCAATCAGCCAGTGAGAGACGCATATTTTACGGGCCTGACCAGACAGAGGGGCAGCCATGTTGATCATCTTAGCCTTCATCGTCCTCTTCCACCTGGCTGCGGCCATCCTCCTCTTTGTTGCAACCATTCACAATGTGAGTATAAACTGGAATGATCATACAGTCAACAGAGCTGGGCAGCATGGGATATTTCCAGCATTTTAACCATGTCTGTGTCTGTCCCTGATGTAGGCGTGGTGGGTGGTGACGCCAGTCGGACAGGAAGTGATACACGCTGACCTGTGGTACTCCTGCAACTCCACCTGCTATCCTCTGCAGAACAGCCATACTTCTGATGCAGGTAAGACAGCATGTGGAAAGGTCCAGTGTGTAGGATGTAGGGGATATATTGGCAGAAATTAAAGGTAATATAGGAAGTGTTTTCTTTAGTGTATAATCACCTGAAAATAAAAATCACTGTGTGTTTTCGTTACCTTAGAATGAGCCATTAATTTGAACATAGGGAGCTCGACCTTGTTTATGGAGATTGCCATGTTCACCGCCATGTTTCTACAGTAGCCCAAAACGGACAAAGCAAACACTGACTCTAGATAGAGCCGTTCGCATTTTCGTTTAGGCCACCATGGTTAGCAGCCCCTCCACGACAAGCAGCATCAGAAGAATACAGATTTTTAAACATGAAGCTGCTTTAGTCAGTGTTTTTACTGGTTTGAATCACAGTCAGTTTGTTTTAGAGAGGAAGAGACCTCTGTGGATACTTACACTCCTGGTGAAAATGTCCTGAATGTCCGGATCTTAAGTTATCAGAGAAAAACGGTGAGCACAGATTTCCAGGTGCTGGGCTTGTGGCCCATCTGCGACATGCCCAGCAGCATCGGAGAAACTGCGGGAAACTGTTTTACTCAGTGTTTTTACCAGTTTGAATCACCGGGTACATTTGTTTTACACAGGAAGAGACCTTTGCAGATAATTCAGCTCCCAGTAAAAACCAACTGAACAATAAACACTGAAGGAATTCTAAACAGGAGAAGTTGCAGCTGGTTGCAATCTGCAGTCCTCGTTGCTAGATTCCACTAAATCTGCCTAAATCTTACACACTGGATGATGGTGTTGGAGAGCGCTGTCTAACACTTCAGTCCAAAATTCCATTTTCAGTATGTCTATACATGCCACAGAGCGTGACTGGATGTTAACTGCTTAATTATACCATGCAGTGCACCTGTGTAGAAGCATCTGCATTTGTCACGTTTCACAATTTACGTTTTTTCTTAAATTTGTCACGTCTGTATGTAGCTTATGTGTGGTTACTGTAAGTCTTGTCTCTGTGTATATAACACCCTCTCTCTCTCCTCTCTCCTCACTCCTCAGCATATCTGCAGGCGGTCCAGGCTACCATGATCCTGGCCGTCATTTTATGTTGCGTCAGCTTCTTCGTCTTCATCCTCCAGCTCTTCAGGCTCCAACAGGGAGAAAGATTCATTTTCACCGCTATTATCCAGCTACTGGCCTGTGAGTGACACACACACACACACACACACACACACACACACACACACACACACACACACACACACACTTATTGATGTGTACAGCCCCTTGCCAAGACCAAGCTGAGCGGAGTGGTTGTTGTTCTGCATCATCTTAGAAAAGAAATCAAAAAGAATCAAATGTTATGAGTTACATTACTTTGATGAAGTAATTAAAATAGTTGCATTACTTATTACATTTTAAGGTAACTAGTAATCTGTAACCTATTACATTTCAATTGTAACCTTCCTCACATTGCTTGAGGGCATACACATATGGCTTTGTATGATAATTCACACCTCACAGTGTAAGAACAGTAACAGTCCCAAAACATGGGAACATCTGCTGGATTTTAGTCATAACTAAATGCCCAAACCACTTTTTTCAACTGAATACCAATGTGTGTGCATATTTAGTAGTGATGATGACAGATTCAGGTCCACATCTTCACATTTTAGTGCAAAGTATTTGAATTCTATCCATTGTGTTATAAATTTGCATAGCGGCTGCCCTCTAGTGGTTGAAAATGGCCACTGCAATTTAATTTTGCTACTGGCTTATCTGAGGACAGGTGACACATTTGGTCGCATCTGTTATCACCGTCCCTCCACCCTCCCCCCTCTACTTGTCGACAGCATGAAGACGTGACTAGTGACTCTTAGCCTATACCCATGTCAATACTTTTTTCCTGTTTTAGAGGCATTTCAAAAATAAAATTCAGGGCAGAAGCACTGCAGCCAAAACTCTGGGGTTTAGTTACTCTTACAGAACAGTACCAGAAAGTGTTAGGTAAATCTGTTCTCCTAATTTCACCTCACATTGATGGAAAGATAGCAGATTATTTATTTTGTTAAAATAGAAAAGAATATATCGTAATATCTTTAATGTCATGAAAAATTGTCAAAACTGTATTTCAGGTTAGTATAGCTAAGCACAAAGACTGGAAACAGGGAAAAACATTTATGTATTATTATTAAACAAAACTGATTCTGCCCCAAATGATCACATGTCACATCACGTCTCTGGTGTATTTGAGCTTGCTCTTTTTGTGAATGGGTGTGCATACTGTGCAGCGACATGAACCTCCTGCACCCTTAATGCTATCAAAACTTTCATTTATTATTACCAATGCAGCCTCCATTACTCTCGACCAGGAAAGAGGCAAACAAAAAACCTACATATGACCCCAAAAAACAGAGATGCTGATTCACACTGGGCTAATATTATCACACAGCCTCAGTGTTGACAATTTACAGACATGGCAGATCCACAAATGATCACAGTCGATCCCTGCAATTATCACAAATCACATAAGGTCCTGTCATCCTGTGTGAATAGTGCTTTCACGTGAAATCCCTTCTTCAACTCAACTATAATTTCCCTGGTTCTCTTCTTCTTCTCCTCCTCCTCCCAGCTCTATGTGTGATGATGGCAGCTTCCATGTACACAGCTCAGAAAGACAGCTTCCACTCGAGCGATCTTAAGAAAGGCTCCTACGGCTCCTCCTATATCCTGGCCTGGATCACCTTCCCCATGACTCTCATCAGCGGCCTCATGTACCTGGTGCTCAGGAAGCGCAAATAGATGTGATAAGCTTGACGCACGGGCATGAAGATTTTATAGAATACAAACAGGAACACTTGGACACACATGCGTAAAGACATACACTTTTCCTCAACAACCATGCATGCATACATTCTCTCACTAACCATTAGATGTTATAATACCATTGGAGATAAGGAAATACACCACAAATCCACAATAACTTCAAATCTCAGGTTCAGAACTAGACAATTCACCAAAGAAAAAAGCATTCAGCAACACATTTTGTACACCGTACACACTCAAAACCCCAAGTAGTCACACACCCTTCTCCTTCCTGATGGCACATTGTTCTCACTGAATGTAGCAAAGGTGCACAAGGACTCTCTAAACACAGAGTGTGTTAAGTTGTCAGGCTGCACTGTATACTTTATTTCTATTAGAGCATCAGAAACACAGCTGATGGTTGACTGGAGAGACCCTCTGTGACAGCCACTAAAATATGTTGCTGTGAACGTTGTCTCATACGAACGCCAGACGGTGTCAGGAGAATCAGGTCCAGACATTGACTTTCACACATGTGGCACACAACAGGAGTTGTCCGTGTCAGAGGCATTCTCACCTACCTATACTCAGTTTGGTTTAGGCGAGGGGTGGCGCCTGGGTAGAGCGTGCAGGAGGCAGGGCATGACACGGATCACACTGCAGTCACGTAGCTGGCTTCGCAATTTGATCATAAACAACAGAGTCTCTTGCTGTTCCTTGAATTCGTCTGACAATTTTGGCCTCGGCCCTTGCTAGAAGAAGTTCCCTTATCTCGTCATCTCTCGTTGCTGTCTTCATGTAAATGACCTTCTTCTTCATCCTAAGATGGTTTCGCATGAGCCTCAAGATAGAAACGTCTTTCACATGCCCACTTGCTCGCTGTGAATTCGCTTTATTTACACATGGGCTCAATCTGACATCACACTGTCTTTGTAGGGAGCTGGCAGGATAAAGTCAGTTTGATGTCCAGTTCAATTGATTTGGGCATTTGCCTTCTCACATAATGTCTGCGTGATGTCTTGATAATTTCAGGTTTGCAGGGCACGTGTGAAAGGGGCTCATGATTCATATTTTGTTTGAAAAGTTAAATCATACTTTTGCCAGCTACGTGCCGGATAGATTCATTTACAGGAAGTTGAGGTCAAATCTAAGCATTACAGATCAGCACCACACATGCACCCTGCTGCATTCAGCACACACTCACTGCTCTGGATAGAAGAAGGTCCCTGAGGCTCCTTGCTGTGTTTTGTGAGAACATGCCCTCTCAGTCCTCTCCTCCCTTTGCCCCCTAGCCACTACACAGGACATGAGCAGTGTTCCAACATACTGATTTGTCTCCTCGTCCTGCTTCCTATTCATAGGAAGGAACCTGTCTGAAATATCTGATGACAAAGGATAACAGTCGAAGACAAGTGGGGAAATTTGTCTTACTGGGACTTTCCAAGAGGTCCATACTCTTTTTTTGTGAATCTATAGTTAACTGAATTCATTTTGTACATATTTGCTGTGTCTGTATAGTTAAGGTTACTGCCAAAAGCTTATTTCTAAGACTGAAATACTAAAATTATATATATAAAAAAGACAAAAAAAAGAGAATCTTATGTTAACCATAGCATACAGGATGTGTAGTGAGGCACTAGTTTAGGTATAATATGCAGGATTTTAACTCGTTGTTTGTATTCTTCTGTTACTGACTTGTGTTTTAATGGTGAAAAAGGAACCAATGATGTGCTGTGATATTCGGGATTTGAAATGACAACGTAGGATCATGCAAACTTGAAATAAGAATTTCTTTGTTACTATTATGCTTCTTTGTTCACAGCTCCACTGAGAAAAAGACAAAGCTATTTATTGTTTAAAACCACTGTTGTGTATTTTAGCATCATGTGACTGAGGATGTATAAAGTAATTAAGGCTTGCCATATTTTTTCCCTCTCTCGCCGGGCTACTGTTTATTTGGTCCATTAGTGAAACATCTCTATCAACCCTATGCACATGTGTGCTCTGGAATTTAACAACAATAAATGTGCCATTGTACTGTACACTGTAAAATCTGAGAAGTTGATCTTACTTTAAAAAACTCTAGGTAATCTAATGTCTTTAAAAAAAGGTAAGTAAACATAACTATAAATCTATCTAAAATCTATACTAAATTGTTAAGTTTCCTTAAAATGTAGTTTTATTCACACATCATTTTAAGTTGCAACAACTTAATTTTGTGAAGTTGCTGCATGGAGTTATCCGAGCTCCATCATATGCCAAATCCTCTCTGACATGATTATGTTATTTCAGACTAAACTGGTTCACCAAGGCTGCTAGAAAGATCAACTTAATTTTACTTGTTTACTTACTTTTACATTTTAAAAACGACAAGTGAAACCTACTTGTTTAGCTTATTCTAACTTAAAGTTGCAACAACGTTGTTGCAACTTAAAAATGACAAGTTTAAGTTGCAACAACTTCATATTATGAATTTGTTGCAACTTAAAAATGACATGTGAAATTAACTTGCTCTACATTATTGTCTAACTTGTTTAGCTTGTTCTAACTTGTTGTCGTTTTTAAGTTGCAACAACATAATATAGTGAAGCTGCTCCAACTTACAAATGACAAGTGAAATGCACTTAAACTTTCTAAGGGTTAGCAACTTCAGTGAACCACATTAGAACAAGAAGTTAGAACAAGTTAGACAATAAGGTAGGACAAGTTCATTTGTCATTTTTAATTTGCAACAAACTTATAATATGAAGTTGTTGCAACTTAAATTTGTCATTTTTAAATTGCAACGTCATATTTTGAGGTTGTTGCAACTTAAAAATGACAAGTTTAAGATGCAACAACTTAATATTATAAGTTTGTTGCTTAAAATGACAAATCAACTTGTCCTACCTTATTGTCTAACTTGTTTAACTTGTTCTAACTTGTTGTCTTTTTTTTTTTTTTTTTTAAATCGCAACAACTTAATATTGTGAAGTTGTTGCAACTTACAAATGACAAGTGAAATTAACTTAATCATTCTAAGGGTTAGCAACTTCAGTAAACCACATTACTGCTCGTTGCAAACTAGTCAGTCATATTTGTATATTCTTAAAAATGTCACCTAAACAGAACCTAAATATATTCCATCTCCTCCATATGCTACAATGCTTTCTGTCATGATGACGCCAAGTCAGACTAACTCGGTTCACTGAAGTTGCTAGAAAGATCAAGTTAATTTTACTTGTCTTTTTTAAGTTGCAAAAACTTAATGTTGTGTAAGTTAGAGTTAAGTTATTGCATTTTAAAAATGACAAGTGAAATCAGCTTGTTCTACCTTTTCATCTAGCTCGTTCTAACTTGTCATTTTTAAGTTGCAACAACTCAATTCTTAAGTGAAAATTAGCTTGATCTTTTTTAAGGGTTAGAAACCTCAGTAAACCGCATTACTGCTTGTTGCAAACTAGTTAAACATATTTGTATGTTCTTAAACATGTCACCAAAACAAAACTCCTCTTTGTCAAACAAGTTAACTTCACTTTTCATTTTATAAGCTGCAACAACTACAAAAATTAAGTAAATACAACTACAACTAAACAGCTAGATATACAGTAAACTTAAATTAAGGCTTGTAGCCACATTTACTTACCTTTTTGAGGTAATTGATTTCCTCGACTTTTTTAAGTAAATCAACTTGCATGATTTACAGTGTACCCGCCACCAATTCACGGAATTACTTCTAATGTCAGCCTTTGCGGTAATATAGAGATAATGTTTGATCTCATACCGTAGCAGCACTGTGTAGACTGTTTTCCGCTTTCTCTGTGTTAGTTTGGGGGTTAAACAGTTAAGGTAGACCAGCGGGGTATTAATGCACATATCTTGGACTTGATGAATCCTTCAGAGGTGCTGCACTGGGTGGTTTTGTGATGGGAATATGGTCGTGTCTGGCAATGTTTGGACCACAGAGCCTGGTAACTTACCAACTCACCGATATTGAAGATTCAGGGAAAAGAAATGGAAGTGAAGATTTTCCTCTGTTATCTCAAGATGATACTTGAAAATGATCAAAACAGCATATCGGAGGCCAAGATTGTGATGTTTGTTCATACGTTTTTGTGAAGTTTTCATCTTAAAAGTGTTTCACTAAATAGTTCTTGTCTTTCAGCAGATCCCTTGTTAACTTTTATTGAAATGAAAAGTAAGTTTAAAAGTGAGATTCTTTAGTTAATAACAGATTATGTAGTCTTTGAAACTATTCGTTTTAGCTTTGATGAGTTAAAAAACAAATCTAAATTTGGAATATCTGAGCTAAAGTTCTGTGCAAGCTGTTGCAGATATTCAACAGAAGCCACAGGAATCACCTCTAAGAGCTGAGTCATCAGAGCCACTCTTGATTTGGAGTCAGAATGTTTTTGGTTTATGGTTTGTGATAATTTTCCTGTTGTGTGTTTTTATGTCAGTGTAGATGTACTGTATCTTAGTCAATGTAGATCCATACAAATAACCACAGGACCACAGTGACAAATGAGCATGAGTTGTTGAAGCCAAATCTGTATTTATGGGGATTTGTTTTTTAAACATGTTTTTTTGGCAGTTGAAATGTTTCCAATGCTTTATGAAGTATTAATTCCACACTGATTCAGAGTCTAATGTTGCTTTATAATGGAGACAAGATGAAATTGTCAATGTTGAAGTAGCTTAAATTTAATAGTTTCCTTTCCTGCATAGGATTCATCCAAGTTTTTGGGAGTGTGTCTGCATATTGAAGGCTCCCTTGCTTTCACTATTTAATACAAACTAAATCACAGCATGCTATTCATTTTGACCTCATTCATCACATCAGTGGCTTCTTCTGTAATCTTTAAGTCCTCTCTGTTTGCATGTATTCACATCATAAAACTACAATGTTTGTCTGCTATTGACACCCAGTGGAGTGATAGAAAACTACACAATGTTTCGGCGACAGTTTTATGGTTTCGAGCTCCAGAACAGACCGCTCAGCACTCCTAAAAACAAACTTGTTTTAGCTTGGTGAATCCTGCTGCTCTAATCTCAACAGATTGGGCAAACTTCCATCAGATTCAGGAAAGACTCATCTCCCCTGCAAGGATTTATAGGTGCTTATTTTTTACTGTTGACCCACCAATCAGATGTAGATCTCAATAAATGTATTTTACAATGAATAAATTTTCTTTGTGTGTGCCAAATCTGTAATTGAGTCAAGTATCCATCAATACTAAATACACACTGTTAGTGCTTGCTTGCTATTGTCGCCCCACATCCACTTGCCTACGGAAAATATCAATAGGCTATTTCCCTCTCTTCCATGCTGCAATGCAAGATCACCACCAGCTAAAATAATCTGGCAGTGGGAAAAGTCTGGCTGACATTCACAGCAATTTCACTGTATGTAATGAGACTAATTTGCTATAATTGCAATGAGGAAGTTTACTATTTATGCCACCCGCAATGTTATCGTTGAGCTCATTTTGTTTGTTGGTATTTTTATCATATAACTTGAACTGCAAATTAAAAAACAGTGATGTGCCTAAATACCTGAAATAGCCTAAAATAATTAAATATTTTAGGTGCTGCGCAGCAATGGTCAAGGCCGGGCAATTTTAGGCAATTCTGAGCAACAAGAGGCAGAATAGGAAGACAACAAGAAAGTTGCCATAACATTGCTGTACATTTTGCATCAGTTGAGGCTTGAACTCACAACCTCTGACACCAAGGAGCATCTTCTATTTGACAGAGATAATTAACAGGTGACAAGTCATCTATGGCTTCATAATTGACTAAGCCAACAGGATGACAGCAGCTGTCAAGGCAGATTTCAAACTGCTGCCATAAATTTAGTTATCAAGACAAAAATCTGAAAATACACATCTTGCATCTAGACAGCATGGAGATGTTGTTAATTTGTTTGTAACAATGTTTGATTTACTCCATACTCCATGGTTCACATGAGGACAGAATTCAAAATGCTGTCAAAAACTCAGTTTTTAATATAAAATTCTGAAATTTGCCACACATCATCTACCATGACTCTAGAATTTTGTCATTTTTTTCATGAACATAAATCAAAAATCTGAGGACAGTTTGTGGAGGACAGTCTGAAGATGCTCTGTAGCAAGTTTGGTGTCAACTGAGCAAAAATTGTGGGAGGAGATAGGTTTAAGAAGTTTTACAGTTTTTGAAAAGAAAATAGAGTCATTGACTTCATAATTTGCAATAGGTTTAAATGTACAAAAGTTTCAGTATTGGGGCTACATTTTGGTGAAAGTTGTTTCCTCGGAAGAAGAAGAAAGAACGAGCAGGAAAACAAGAGGGTCCTGGCAGGACTTGGGGACTGCCTGCCTGGCCTCTAATAAAAACACAATTTTGGCTTTAGCAATAAAAAAACATGGTCACCATGGTACATTATGGGTAATTTTAAATTCATTTGTTCCATTTTGCAGATCTATGAATAAAATAATATGAAATTACGGGTCAGACTATTTTGAAATATATTTGCTTAGTTTTTGAGAATTTTCTTTTCCGGATCTCACATTTCATTGAAATGGCGCTTTTATTTTAAAGAAACGTGGGCCGGAAGTGTTAAAAGATTGAGCACAGCTGGGCGGAAGTATAACCGGAAGAGCATGAGTTAGTGTGGAATGCAGCTATGTGCGAGTCTTTGTGGTCATAAATTATATTTTTGGAGCATTTAAAATCTTTTATAAGGTAGGAACTGTCTGGTTCCGGCATGTTTTGTGCGCTAACGTTAGATAGCTCACCAGTTACTCGCTTACAATTTCTACGGTAGCTTGAATATACGAATACTTTGTTAAAAATGTAAGCTAACTGTTAGCTAACCGTCTTAGCAGTGCGCATCCTTTAGCTTGTTGCTCTTTTAAAACAGAAAAACCTATTTTAGCCCCTGATGTTTTAAGTCATTGTTTTCTAATTACAAGTCAACGTGTTATGCTGTCAGTCAATGCTGCTTTATATATATTTTTAACAAGTAAGCCTGCTAAGAAAACAGTCAATTTTGTGAAAATATATATTACCTCAGTATTTCCAGTTCCTGCTGCTTTATACATCTAATTCAGTACATCTTACAGGGAAATATTATGCTTTTTACTCCGCTACATTTATTTGATATCTTATAAGTTATGTTGTACATTTACAAAATATGAATCAACGCATGAATTAGGATGTGTTATTAACTGCCCAGCAGCATACAAAGTTATTCAAATGAGTTTTACTGACAGCAACATTAAGATTAAGGATACAATAGTGCATCAATAAATCTAAATCAGTAATGTGATACATGTTTAGTTTTGATAGCATAATGAGCACTTAGCCTAATTTTGTTGCCAACACTTATGTACTTTTACTTAGGTAAAATTGTGAATGCAGAACTTTTATTTGTGACAGAGTATTTATATGCCGTGGTATTGAAAGTTTTACTTAAGTAAAATATATGTGTACTTTGTCCATCACTGCATCACACTGATTTGTGTAGTTGAATTCTCATTTAGCATATTAAGTCGAACCCCGCAGATATACATTTTCTTATTAAAGTGATATGTTTTAAAATGGTCATGTAAGTTAGGAAACAAACGGGTGTAACTTCATCATCAGCTTTTCATTCACAGTCACTTGACATATATTGGAATGGGGAATTTGCATTGCAAGTTGGTTTTATTTAAAATTTGTGCATTTTTCTGTGTCCTGTGTTTCTGTCTACAGAGCAGTTTGCAACATTGCAAAGACGTTAAGGACTTCATTACAGGTCAGACAAAGCTCAGCAAAGAGGAGCGTAGTACAAGGCAGAGGTGAGACAAATAATCAATATGGCAGCAAATTATACTGTGGAGATTTCACATCTTGTGGCCTCATTGATTAGTTCATCTACACCAATCAACTAAAACATTAAATCCACTGGCGAGTGAATTATAACATTAATCATCTTGTTACAGTGCAATGCTCTGCTGGGAAACCTTTGGGCCTGGCATTCATGTTGATGCAACGCCACACACACCAACCATCCAAACACTGTTGCAGATCAAGTATCATGGCAACAGCACTCCCCGATGGCAGTGCCCCCCCAGGCAGGACAAAGCACCATGCCACACCGTTAAAACTACTCTACTGACATGGAGCTCAAGGTCTTGACCTGGCCTCCAAATTCCCCAGATCCCAATTTGATTGAGCATCTGTGGGACGTGCCGGTAAAGGCGAGTTCACATTACACGACTGGCCGACCAGTCTTGAGTCGCGGAGACTATCGTAATCTTTTGAGTGTTCATATCTGCCTCAGATAACGTGGTGACATCGTAAAGGCATGGCTATTCTTCCCAGTGTTGAATCAGATCTGCCTCCAGGGCCTGGGTCCAAACACAACGCGCTCCCTGTGATCCTATGGACGCCGGCATTGTTGTTGTTGCTTGCCGGCTTGTCCTCCTCACATTTCTTTCATCCTCCTGCGTGCTGACGTGGGACATGTCCCGCCTCTCATTGGCTGATGCGCTTTGTCAGTCGTTTCAGACTTCTCCAGTTTTCTAGCATGCCAGGTATCCAGTCCCAGTTGCAGATGAGGGGGCGACTTGCTCGTAGGCTTGTTCACACACGAAGACTCGTCGTGGCAGACTATCTGCTGACTCACCTCCGACCCAAGGTGGCTCTCAAGATCCAAGATCTGCGGCGTCAGAATCTGGGTGAAAATCATGTAATGTGAACTAGGCTTAACCCAGAGGTACCCCTATCCAAAGGGAGGCCTCCTTGGGTTGGGTTTGTCTCTAACCATTTGAGTCATGGACACAGGACCTCTGGGGGGTGTCCTGCTATGTCTGGCACCAGGACACCGGCAGTAGATCCTTTTGAATCTTGTTGGTTGTGAGGTATGGTACCAGCATATCCCACAGATACTCAGTTGGGTGTTGATCTGGGGAATTTGGAGGCAAGGACGACGCCTTGAGTTCTTCGTGGAGTTCCTGTGGCTGTTGCTGAGCGGTATTAACGGTGTTGCATGGTACGTTGCCCTGCAGGGTGGGTGGTGGGTGGAGCACATCAAGTGGCATCCACATGAATGCCAGCCCAAGGTTTCCCAGCACAACATTGCATTGTAACAACATGATCAATGTTATTCATGTCACCCAGTGGTTGTGATGGTTTGGCTAATTGGTGCGAACCACAGTAGCTTCTCATGATGCAGTGATAAATGTGAATTGTTTGTTTACTTCAAACATTTTAATTCTGAAATGTGGCACTCTCTAGAATGGTCTTTTTACATTTGAATACAAGCACACGTTATGTTCTTCATGTTGTGTGTGTCAAGAAGACTAAAACTCAGCAGTTTGTTATCCGGACATTCATTAAAATCTTGTAAATCTAAAATCCCAATGGAAGGAATTTATTTTTAAGTTACATAATTCACTCCTTTCTGTAAAAAATCTTTCCATTTTAATGGTTACTTCTACCTGTTTTGTTACACAGATATCTGGACATTAGAAGACTGTCCTACAATTTAGTATACACAACAAAAGATTGTTTGTGCCATGATCTTGTCATTGTGGGCAGGATATTATATAGTAATTGCATTGCATCACATCAGAGTTACTGAGCTCTGAAACAAAGAGTCCATTGATACAGGAGTGAAACAAAATAACAGTGGCTGTTGTTATTGCCAGGTGATGCACTGATGACAGTATCAGCCACCCCTCTCAACTTTTACATTCTTTGACGATACCTCACTCAACAAAATGGTCTCCCTGCAGCCTCTGTCTTGACAGCACGCTGCACGTGTGGTAAAATATGGCAGACGCTCAAGATCAAGCTCATGGTTGCAAGAGCTCCAAAAGGAAAGCTGAAAAGAAGGTAAAGCCTTCCACTCAACCCAAGAGAAGGAGACTTTGTTCTCAGGGGGGAACCGGCACACAGAGAGCTCGAGTGAACATTGGTGTGGCATTTGAAAGGTGGCGTGAACTGAAACAAAGAAATGGATATGGATCTGATGCAGAGGTGGCCCAGAGACTGCTGGATGTGTGAGTTCACCTCCAACAGCTTCATAAATGTTCATTTAAAGTGGCTTATGGCTTGACTAATATTATTGCTTACAGGCAAACGGTGGTTTTTGTTCATCTGGCATCAATGTGCTTTGCTGCGTACTTTCCTATGAGCTGGTCCAGTCAAGCAAATGATTTCAGTGTTGTGTAAAAGATGGATATGAGGGGGATGGATGCTGTGAGTCTCTGAAAGTGTTGTGACTCTCTTTGCTGGCAAGAGAAAAGTGTCAGCTGAGCTAAATTGTTGTCTGTTTACACCATCCTCTGGCCAACAGAGGGAGCTAGTTGTGACAAGTACTGTATTGGACCAGTGACCAAACAGTCCTATAAACCTGAAAATAAATGATAAATCACAGCAAATAGAAATTGTGTCTGGTTAATCCAGTCCTTACATTGTCATACAATTTAAAAATCAACCTATAGGGTATTGCCTATCCATATTTGTAAAGCCTTGTATGCAGGGATCAAAATTAGCAGTCGCCAGTCGCCAGAGGCGACTAATTTTAACCCTTTGGCCAGTAAATGAAGTCACCTAACCAGCCACTCTGGCGAGTGAAAAAAATAGGGCCAAACTACTGTTATTGTTGTTTCTCCCGCCCCTGGCTGTGTGTAGGCTATGTGATGTCATTGGTTGCGCGCCGGTGTCGTACAACAGATCTTCAAGCCCACAACATGCCGCAAAGTGGGAGCTAGAACGTGAGCATGTAGTTGGAGATCCGCGGTCCGCCATTTCCACGCCCTAGAAAGGCTGATAAGGGGGTGCTGTGGCCGTGCTGCCTGCTCTCTCCGGTTTTACGCCAGGCTCGGCTCCTTTCAAAGACTCCTTGCGAAGCACTCCAGCGACCGGATCTTTGCTCTCAAACCACAAAAAAAAATGTGATGGCACAACAGTCTCCTTCAGTACATTATTCTATGCTTTCTTTTGATTTTCACATTGGCTAGTCATCCTGTTTAATTTGTCTTCTGATTAAATCGGAACCGTTGAAACAAGTTGTAGGAAACCTCTGCAAGTAATTGGTTGCTGGCAGACACTCTGTGCTGCAATTAAATGGTTAACCAGCAGTGTCGTGCACTGTAGAGCCAATGCGCTGCTGGTTCTGCCGGCCTGAATAGATTCTAATGTCTACTGTTGTGTACAGCATTTATAGACTGAGCTGAGTAGTGATGCACGGGTCAACCCGTAACCTGCAGGACCCGCAAATGGACCTGTGGGTCGGGCAGCAGTGATTGTCTGTTAAATCGGTCTGTAAATAATATTTTGACATTATTGGCTATTACTGTCATGGCATCCGAAGGTACTGATGCGTTGAGCAGGTGACAGTCCGCGGCTGTTTTTTAAACACACTTGTGTCACGCACTTCAAAAGAAACTTGTTGAAACTTTAAACAATAATTTATTGTACAAAACGGGGGAAACAAACGTTGACAAAAACGGTTCTATAATTCATATTAAATTCAAAAGATAACGAAAAAACAGCTACAAGTTAGAGGGAATAATGATAAAGTGGTAAAACTTGATCCACAGCCTCAGACGGATGCGCTCAAGCGTGTCATGCACAAGCTCAATTGGTAGGTGTTGGACTAAGAGTCTCATCCTACTCTCCAATGTGCTATGTGTGAGCTCAGTCCTGCGTGTTCTTTAATGAAGCAATAGGAGAAGATATTCGGTCTCAGTTAATGTAGTTTATTAAGCAGTAAAGGAATAAAATTACAGAGCTCTGGGTCTCAACTTCACGTCCCTGACGAACAACAAAGGTGTGTCAGTTCACGAAGTCTGACCTCCTGTCCTT